TGCCCTCTTTCTTCCAGCGGACTGAAGGCGAAAGTTCTTTGCTGTCATTCTACTTGGGCAAAGTAGTGAGGTCTGGTGCACATGGTTGGCCTGGAGAAGCAGATAGTGACAGTGGTTGTTGGTGCAGTTTTTCTGCTATCTTGAGGGAAGTGTTTGCTTTTTATCCCTTTTTTCCCTTTTTTCCCTTTTTCCTTTCCCTTTCCTTTTCTCTTTTGGGGGGCTCCCTGTGAGTGATATCTGGTATATAATTCTATTTATATATATAAATGTGTGTTACTTGGAATTCATTTGGTTTGGGTTCTCTTAATTTTGTATAGTCTTTTCGGTCTGTTCGAGGAGGGAGAGGGAGGGGGAAGGCTTTTTCACTGTGGTCCAGGCACTTGGCTGGTAGGCAAGTCCGACCTGGGACATCATTCACCAAGTGCCTCCTGCTAAATAGGTCAACTTTTCTTTACATGGAATGCAAGCTTTGAAGTGGTTCTTGCAAGTGGACATAAGGAATTTTTCACAATCAAGTATTTCAGCAAAAGTTGCTGTGATTTGTTTGGAAGAGAAAGAGCTCTACAAATATTGGTAGAGTAGCTGAAGGGTAACCCAGAACAAGCCAGATTGCTAGAAATGGATGGTTGTTCACTAGCTACGTCCTGCTGGCTTTGAATCCTGCAACGAGCAATTCCTGGTGTCATTAGGTCTCTGTTTAACTTCACATATGCCTAAGAGGGCTTGTTTGCCTTTCATTTGTACAGACAAGATCAGCTGTTCCTAGCATTTGCCTGCTGTAAAGATGTGTCATGCGCCATTACCCAAGCAAATGTAATGCCCCCAAAGTAAACATGCCCCACAAGTTTGCAGGCAGTAATCGATGGAAAAATAGTTGTTTTCCCTATTCTCTGGAATTGCCTACACATATGGCTTCTTTTATATCATCCTTTGGTCACTTTGTAGTGTTGTCTCCTGCAGAAAAAGAAATAGTGTTACTGAAAAATAGTGGGTTTCAAGGGTGTTCTTTGGTCCACAGCCAAGTTAAATAAAAACAGCACAGCCTTTTATAGTATTTAAGTTATTAAACTACAGCAACCACCACATCCACTGCTTTTCCAGCTATTCTCATTTTAAAACACGATACCCTGACTTAGCGAATTAAAGTTACATGTAAAACAAATTCCCATTTGAATGATGTTAACATTCTCAAATTGGACTTTCCAGATAGAATCAATTAATAAATAAATGCAATCAATAAAATAATATGGACACCTGTGTAGCTGGTTGGTTTTATACTTTGCAACATGAAGTTTTGTCTTGCAAAAGCATTTAGCTCCTGACATCTGTATAAGACCTACTGGTCTTGCAGTGTCAATAACAGGGAGATTTTGTAATGACATGCAGGAAGAAATATCAGTGGCCGCTTTATTCAACAGATTTTCAGCAATGTCTTTTTCTCCTAGATTAATGCACTTGGAGAAAGAAAAGTGGCAGAACACCCTGAGAGTTACTCTTAAATGGCGAAGGCTGGTGATATACAGTAGCCAAACCCCTTGGTTGATGGTTGATCCCCGTGCCTTGATCTGTTCCCTCAAGCAGGTCTCTGTCTCTGCCTCTGCATCACTCTTTTATTCTTTATCAAAAATATGCCTGCAAAACAATAGGAGGATAAAATAATAGCATTCCCCTGAAAACTTCTGAATTTTCTGCTGATAAAATTATTTTTTTTTTTTGTTTTTCTTATGCCCTGTTACTGTTTATCTCTGCCCTTTCCTTCTTTGCCTCATCAAGAAAGACAATGGTTTCTCTTCTACAAGGCTTATAAAGAAGAAGAAATGTAATGTTCTCACTTTATAACTTCCTGCGGTGCTTTCATTTCAGTGACAGCTTTCTCACTTCATGAGTTTCAGGGTTTTGTGCCTGAGGTTCTCACCCTGTAATCCACACATTTCTCAGGGTTCTGGCTACCATTCAGAGGTGGTGAAGCTTCTGAACTCCCCATCCTTCCCCTGCATATTCCCCTGCAGATTTTGCCCCCTGCACAGTTCTGTCTGATGGGACAGATTTGTGGTCAGAGTGGAAGTGGTGAAGACACATGCTACCAGGTGCAGGGAGTGATCCTCACACCAGCCTCAGCCTCAGCAGTCAGGAATGGGCATCTGGAGACATGCCACAGCAGTCAAGCAGAACAAGGCTCAAGATTACAGACTTAAGCCTTAAGTAAGGATCAGTAGTTTCAAATGTGTTATCTCTACTAACAAGGAAGGAAATAGGGTGTTGTGTGTAAGTACTTGGCTTTTCAAAACCTCTCTGTCTCCCTTTTTCATGGACAAGTCATTGAAGGATCAGAAATGCAGGTACAAAGCCACACCGATAGCCTGGAACCTTTATATGTCTTTTGACAAGAAGGAAGAGAAATCCACTTGGTTAAACTCCTAGTCCTTGTGAGTTAGGATTCAATCTTCAGTATTATACTCTATATTGATAGATACCTTACCTATGTGCAAGGGAACATTTTGTGCTTGGTCTTCAAGAAGACATTTCAGCTTGGGAAATGCAATGATTCCCGCTGAGATACCACATACTGAAAAAACCTCAAGAGCTGCTTTACTAGCAGTTCTGCACCAGAAACAAAGAGGTCCTTAAAGGAATGTGAAACTCTCTTGAATATCATGTTAAACTGAAGTTACAAATGAGAAATAATATTTTTGTAGTTGGTCTCATGTTTGTTTCTGATTTTACACTCAAGCAGAATGCCACTGGGTGCATTAGGGGGTGAAATAAAACTTTCACTAATAAACAACAAACCTAAATTGTTTATGAAGCATGAAACAATTATCTTTGACTGCACCTGATGCTGCTGAGCTTTTTTTTTTTTTTTTTTTTTTTTTTGTACTATTATTTATTGTGCTATTTTTAAATGCGAATGTAGTGGGTTGGACAGCATCTTTCCTTAATGGATAGGATAACCAAGTCCATGTAGCACAGAGCTCATTCTCCATCACAGCTCAGAACCCTGTACACAGTCCACCTTCCTGCACAGAAGGATATCCCAATGAACAAAAACATGTGAATGAATTAATAATTCAGAAAAGAGTACCTAGATTTTCAAAACACTCTTAGGGATGCAGATGTTCTAACACCTCTTTAAAGGTTTGAGGATATCTATTGTCATTATACATACATGTGACTTTCATTTCATTTCTGTATGGAGATAATGTTTCTGCACTGGTCCTTAACACCAGCTGTAAAAGTCAAGCCAAGTTGTAGTCTCAGTGATTAGAAATGAGAGGTAAAAATTCCTTTGTGTTTTGAGTAGAACAGTGGGGCTATAACTTCACAGGAAAAAAACCCATGGAACCAGAAATTGCTTGGTGACATGACCACATTTAAAGAAAGCCTCAAAAACAGTGGTAAGAATAGAACAGAGGGATCTTTAAGGCATCTGTCCGAGAAAGTGAAGAAAATGCATTTTTGGCAGTGAACACTGACAAAATCATTCAGAGAATAAAGTAAATTAAAATGAGCAGAAACCACATGCCCTGGTTGCTGGCTTGGTTTTGACAAACCTTGATCTGTTGTTTCACCATGTTGCAGAAAGTGAGTTTGGGTGAACACCAGGATGCTGCTGTAGTGCCATTTTATCAGCATTCAGTTCTATAACAATATTTATTGATATTCTCTTGGGTTTCTGGTACACTTACTACACACTCATCCTTTTCCCCCCTCTAGATCCATTCAGATTCCTATTGTTTTGGGCTCCTACTTAGTGGCAGCAGTGGATACAATCCCATGGTCCTTATGGGGACACATCCTTAAGGGGACTGGAGATTCTCAGAACCTTGGCAAAATGATGTCTGAGGCTGAGATGTCAGACACTGAAACACTGGTCTTGCACAATGTTTTCCTTTCCTCATTGTCTCATATTTATGTTTTTGGTTATCTTCCCATTTTCAGAAGCCAGTGAGGAGTAGGGTAGGCATATCTATCAGTCTGTAATAAACAAAAGGAAAACAGTATTGAAGCACAGATGTAAAAGCAGCCTATTAAAATTTACGGTTTAGAAGTTGGAAGAGTCAAGCAATGAAATATAGTGAACTATATACTGAAGCTGCTAAAAAGTTCATTTTCAGAGGCAAAGGAAAGAGCATTTAGAAAACATTAGGAAACGTTTAGAGGCATTTTCTAATATGCAGAGATAAACAGTGAAATGGTAGATGGAAGGTTAAATAAAACAGAAGGAGCTGTGGAAATGCACATGCAAATGGAAATAAGTTTTGAGAAATTGAAGTATTTGCTGAGAAAAATGCAACATGCAGACCACTGGATGTGATTAAGTATATATACATATATAGTTTGAAATTATTTTTAAATGAGTAATTGTTCAAAATGAGTAAGTGTACTTCAGGATAACTGTATTTGCTACATCATCAGGGTGGGCAGCGGGGCTCATTAAAGCAGCGTATCTGTGGTGTGTCGGAGGTGTCTGGGGTCGGCGCGTGTTAATCAAGCTGTGCCTCCCAGTGGATCCCGGGTTACGAGCTTTACTGCATACAAAATGCTGTATTCCCCCGTGCTTTACCCTCGCACCCAGGCGAGGGGAGACGCGGGGCTGGGAGAGAACCCCAGCTGGCGACGGGATGGGTGCGAGGGGCGGGCGGGGTACACGCTCCTGCTTCTGCTTCGGCTCGGAGTCGGTCCTACCGATAACCTACAGTAATGGATAGGACCCTACAACGGCACCGAGCCCCAGCCTCTGCGTTCGGGCAGCCGCACCCCTCCCCGCGGGCACCAGACGCCGTCAACCCCCGTCCCGCCGAGCCTCCGCCTCCCCCTCTATCACCTTGCATCCCGCCCCCGCCTCCCGTCCCCCGGGACCCGCCAGGCTTCGCCCCCGCCCCTCCTGCCCTTTCCCACTGGTTTCCGCGCCCCTCCCGGGAATCACCCCCCCCGGCTCGGGGGCCAGGTACACTTGACGTCAGGATGGCTGTCGTCGTTTTGACGTGTAAACACTCATTTCCATTCCGGCTCCGGAGGGTCTAGGAGCCTCGGGCAGCCGCGCCGGCAGGCAGGCAGGGATCCGCTCCCCGCCATCGCGTAGCAACGCGGCGCCGCAGCCCGCCCGCATCCCGCATCTCGCATCCCTCCCGCGGCCATGGCCGGGCTGCGCTGGGCCGCCCCGTGCGCGGCCCTGGCCGTGCTTTTGGCAGTCTGGAGCCTGCCCCGAGGAGGCAGCGCCGAGAGGCTCTTCCTCAACGAGTGGGCGGCGGAGATCCCTGCCGGTCCCGACGCGGCCAGAGCCATTGCGGAGGAGCTGGACTACGACCTCGTGGGGCAGGTACTGCCGGGCGGGGGGCGGCTCCACCACGGGGCTCCTTGCTTTTCCCTGCCTCAAACTTGTACCCGGCTGCCGCCCGCGGAGCTTCGGGGAGTTTGAAGCGCCCTCTCCCCCAGCTCAGCGTAGCGGGCCCGGATCTGAGTCCGGGTCTGCATTTGGCGCCTGGACGGGGACGGCGCTTCCAGAGGGGACCGGGTAGGGCCATTCGGCTCTTCCTCAGCGGACCAGTCAGGGGCCGGGCAGGGACCTCCTGCTCTCCTTGAGAGGACCGGGTAGGCTCGGGCGGAGGGTCCAGCTCTCCCTGATGTCCAGGCAGAGCACTTGGCTCTGCCCGAGGAGACCAGACAGAGTCAGGAAGGGCACCCCCTCTCTCCTGAGGAGACAGAGCGGGCGCCCGGCTGTCCCAGAGGGTCTCAGGGCAACCCGGCTCTCCCCGAGCAGTCTGGGCAGGAGGAGGGCGCGGGCAGTCCCGGCTCCAGCCCCGCGCCGCCCCCTTCCCGTCGGCTTCATCGCCATCGCGGGGCTTCTCCTCCAGCCATCCCTCGGGCGCTTTTTTGGGATGCCGTGACGTCAACGTTGTCAGGGATGAGTAACCGCCGTGAGGGAACAGCCTTGTCTCACATCCCGGCGAGGGTCCTGTGCTGGGCACCACGTCCGGCAGCGCCGGGACCCCGCTCCACCCGCCCACGACCAGAGCTGTGGGTGGCCGGGGTGGGTGTCAGCCCCGCTCCGAACCCCTTCCCACCGCCTACCCTACGTCTAGGTACGGTCGTATTCTCCGAACTCTCAACCCTCGCACATACGTGTGACCCCAGCTTCGTGGGTTTGGTCATTCTGCCTCTGTAGTCGGTGCATTTTGCCACCACCGATTTTCAACAGCCCGTCCGTGGGGGAGGGGGGTGTTTAAAACCACTCCAGCTCTCCCGGTGACCGGCTACTGTGCAAGTGAAAATGCCATTGCAGTGGGTGCCCGTTCAGACCAGCCACACAGTGAGGTTATCTGCAGCCTCTCAAAGCTTTTTACACCTGTCCAGCAAAGAAGAGCAAATAAAACTGGGGTGTGACGACATGTATAATCTGCCCTTTGAACTGTGGCCCTATCAAGGTGTGTCCATGAGTCACTGCTGGAGGTGATACCTTACTGAGTACTGTAGTAGTCCTCTCAAAGCTTTTTACACCTGTCCAGCAAAGAAGAGCAAATAAAACTGGGGTGTGACGACATGTATAATCTGCCCTTTGAACTGTGGCCCTATCAAGGTGTGTCGGTGAGTCACTGCTGGAGGTGATACCTTACTGAGTACTGTAGTAGTCATGACCGCACTTGACTAGCCTAAATGAAAATATCCCCCCAGTTTCTTCTGGCAGCACACTATGATAAGCACTTGTTACTTACCACAGTGATAGGTACTCCTTACATGAGAGTCTTTTCTAGTTTAGATTAAAATATGTAAAGGTGAGTTTCTTACTCCTTTGTCTTTTGAGTGAAATTAATTCGGTCAGGTTCTGATTGTTGTTACTTGCTGGCGATGGGGAAATTCCTCTCAGCAGTTAAAGTATGCCTATGTCTTACAGATTGGATCCCTCAAAAACCACTATCTATTCAGACATAAAAGCCATCCCAGACGGTCCCGAAGAAGTGCCATTCATATCACTAAGAGACTTTCTGATGATGAGCGAGTGAGTGTTAAATTTAATCTTTTTCTCTCTCTCTTTTTTTTTTGTTTGTTTTTTTTTTTGTTTGTTTTTGTTTTTGTCTGGGTTTTTTTCTGTTGCTTTATTGCTGGCTTCATAATGAGATCACAGGCAGGCTTTCCTTGTTTTGCAAGTCTAATATATTCAGCCAACTGTACTCATGCTGAATAATACTTAACTATTCTGTCATTAACAGGCAGAATCTGACCCTCCCTTACCATATATTTTACAAGAGCTTTCCAAATTAAGATCTAAGATGTGCAGCACTCTAATTTCAGATGTTAATGTGTCACTGATAAAAATGTGAACGGGGATCCACAGGGCTTTATTCAAAGTAAAAATCCATACATGCACTAAATTTAATTAGGCCTCATCTGTGCAATTACTATGTGAATTAGGTTTGATTTAAAGTGGCTGAATATTAAGTAAAAAAATGCAGTAGGGGGAAAGGGCTGAGGTTTTGCCTGATTGGCTTCCATGACAAGCTAAAGCCCCTTCTCAAAGGATCCATCACACTTTCCAGACTTGCAGTCTTTTCTTACTCTGGGATCCCACTGCAGTCAGAGAATGGGCATACTGGAGAGCTAGGGATCTCAAGCATGATCCACTGGTGAAGAAGACTCCCCATTTATCTGGCTTCCATTTAAGAGAGGTGCATTCCTGTTTGTTAGCATACCGAACAACTGAGGTTCATGACAAATTTGAGGAGCAGGCCAGAATGGTGTCAGCCTCTCTCAAAAATTGTTTTCTGTCAAATTTTACAACACCATAATTTGATTTACAGGTCAGCATTATTGCAGCGATCATTGTGACAATATGAGCAGTCCAAAACGTGAAGTAACCTAATCATAAAAACTGACAATTTACAATATAAGAACAAATAATTTGAGAATGAATAATTTACTAGCTGGAGGTTTTAGATGCAAATGTCAACCAGGAGGAAATATTCTCTATGTGGTGACACAGGTTTTTTTTTTGCCTTTTGTCTTTCAAAACCATATACTCCCATCTATGTCCTTGCAAACATTGGTTTAACAGTTAAAGTTGAAATAATTCCAACTTGGGGACATTCAAGCCCACAGCTTCAGTGTAAACTAGAGTTCTAATTTATGCCAAGACACATGATCAGATGCCCAATGTCATCATAGTACAATGTTAAGGAACAGTTTTGGTTGCAGTTTCTCCCTTTTTTGGACTTCATACATTGAATACATCTCTTATACAGGGATGAATGACAGTGATCAATACATCATATTCTAAAATGGTAGCAGAATGGAAGTGGTTGTGTTATTCACATTGCCACCAGACATTACTGCAGACTTGCATACTTAGACCTAGAAACAGGGCTTCAAAGTGTTGCAGGTGATTTGCTAAATTTACTCCAATTTCCCCTTTATTTACCATCTAGCATGCAAATTAACTCTGTGAATGAATGAGATGTGATTATGCCTTATGTAAGTCTATAAACACAAAGCAATCATGTAACGTGTAGTTACATACAGACCTTTGCTCTAGAGATGCTGTTCTTGTTCAGCAACAGCCTTTTTAAAAAAGTTTTAAATTCAGCCTTTAAAAAGGGAAAGAAAAATGAATCCTGTTTTTTGTTTGTATAATGCCTCCAAGAATTTTACGGTATGTTAAGTGTGAGAGCTGTGGTAAAACTTGGCTCTAATCTGAATATTTATCTGGTTTCTGTAGTGTTTGTTGTAAAACAGATAAAGGCTGTGAATATATTGAAGGGATATAATTATCCAGTTCCATGACTTCTAGTATTTGCACTAGTTTCCAAATCTACTTTCTTGCAAGTAGACTTGAATTGAGATTGTTTTTACTGCTTGATATATCAAGGACTGGAGATTTGGCACAGAGCCTTCAGCATTAGCTGTAGGTGGATGTTGGAACCTCACCCAGGTGCTGAGTGACAAACATTTGGCTTGTTTGTCTGACATATGTGCTCATCAGCTCATTTCCTTGCTGCACTTGTCCACAGTGAAAAAAAACCAAAATGACCAAATATGGAGGTTGTCAATTGTTAATTACTGTTGGGTGATGAAGAAGTCAAGCTTTGCTGTAGGTAGGGAAGAGAGATAAAGATAATTGCTCTAACATGTGCACAAGTATGTATAGTACTAGATATCAATAGGACAGTTTAAAATACACTTGCGTGGGTATATTCATCTTCTATAACTGACTAACATTTGTAGGGGTTTTAGGACTAAATATATAGCAAACAGAGTAGTAAACATGCCTAGTGTAGATACCATTTTAAAGGATTTATGTCCTGGTAGTGAATTTTCATTAGGCTTTCAATACAAAATTGCATTCTAATCTAATGAATACTTTTTTTGTCATTATAATTTCTGAGTCATTATTGTTTCGTGTGTGGTGATAAATGTAAGGATCATAAAGCCGTTCAATCACAGTACATAAAAGGAATGAAATCTATTCAGAGGTTGAAAGCAAAAGGTTAATCCAAGGCAGTCAGCATGTGAGCCTTGTCACAGGATGCTGACAATCCACTGAACTTGAGTTTACCTTGGTCAGTCAGAAGTTGGGATGAAAAGCAACAACCTTATCTGTGTCAGAGTGACTGTACAGGTGGGAACTATGAATAGTGTTTTATTCCCATTTCCAAAAGGAACACAGAGCACAGAGGGAGGTATCATAGTCAGGATTTGATTTGAATTGGGTTCAGTAATACTTTCAAGGGAGCTGAACAGAATACACACTTAAAATACAACCAAGTGACTTAGAGGTTGCTGTATCTGTGCGCAAGTGCATGAAATTCAGTGTGTTTTTTTTAGAAAAACATGCTGAAGAATTTGTCTTTCAGTTGCCTTAAGTGGAATCAAGCCAGTGATGAAGTTAGTCCAATATTCATATCCTACTAATTGATCACACTTCAAAACACCACTCAGAAGGAGACTTGAAGGTCTAGTTGGTCTATGAGTAACAGCATCATTATGATTGCTAGACTAAAGCCAGAGATAATCCTTCTTTCCTTTTAATTCCCCATAGACATAGAGTGTGAATAAAGGGTAGATAGGAGAAAGAAGCAGGCCATGATTTTCCTTGTTTTGATAACCACCACTCTTTGATAACCACCACCTTCTAGCCATACCGCATGGTTTTATTTGGCATAAAAGGCTGCACTGTGTCACTCACAGAAGTTCTACTGTTAACTTGCACTTCATGATTTTTTATGAATTGATTCTACAGCATCGTGATTTCACCAAGCTGTCTTCCCCAGATCACACTGTACCACAGTATAAACAATCCTTCCATCAAAATTTCTCCATGTGAGAAAAACCCTTGTGCTCTAGAGTCCTAAACCAAGGAGGTTCACTTATCATATTTTTACAAATAATTGTAGGTGTCATGGGCAGAGCAGCAATATGAAAAGAAGCGAACTAAGCGTGCCACTGTGAGAGACTCCGCAGAAAGTCTTTTCAATGATCCTATGTGGAATCAGCAGTGGTATCTGGTAAGAATTTGTTGCATTGTGGAACTGGGGATGATGGGTTTTGGCTATGCTGCATTATTTTGCTGGTAACGAAGTGATTGCATGGAAGGGAGTAAATCAAGAGCCCCTTTCATTAGCACATGCTGTAAAAATGAGAGATCACTGTACATAATATTTTCAGGAAACCTTCTATTTTCTTTCGAGTGTTGTTTGTACAAAGATTCTAAAAAACAGTTTAGACTGCTGTTTAGGATGGGGGCTGATACTAGAAATTTTAACAATGGAAAGCTACATTTAGGATAATTTTAAAGCGTTTGCTGTTGGTGTGTAAGAAGTCCATTATCATGTCTGAAGCTGACCATGTATTTCTTCATTAAAAGTGATAGTGCAGAATGCATAGTTGAGATTAAAACAAAAACATATTCATGCATGTGACAAGCACGTTGAGCCTCTTGGACTAGGATTTATATGTGAGAGAGTCTCTACAGCTCACATATTCAAAAACCTCAGGGAAAATACATTTCTTAAGCTCAGTAGTTTCTGCCTGCATGTGACAACTCAGAAATACTATTGATCATTTATGTTTTGTATGGTTTCTTTCAAGAGCCCATGTTTTCATTATGCTTCTACCTCTTCCCTCAGTCTAGGCTTCATTATTTTCACTCAGAATAGGAATGGGATTATATGTGGGTATAACAAATCAAGAAGAAAGGTCAAGCACAAATGTTGCCTGTGTGGCTGGGAAATACTTTTCTCTGTTTCAGTTCAGCTTAGAGAAAACAGGTCAAACTCTAGGCTGCCTGTATAATTTCTTACATAATAGTTTCCTTTCCTTCCTTCCTTTCCTTCCTTTCCTTCCTTTCCTTCCTTTCCTTCTTTTCCTTCCTTCCTTCCTTCCTTCCATCCTTCCTTCCTTCCTTCCCTCCTTCCCTCCCTCCCTCCCTTCCTTTAGTGTACCTTCACACATCACCAGAAGAAAATCTTATTTGATGGATTTCAGAGAACAAAATATGAAACCTCAAATAATTTCCTGAATGGCAGTAGTCTGAAAAGATAGCATAAAATGAAAGAAATGTCATTCCCATAAAAAATTTCTTTTTCTACGCCTCGTATTTTATGCAACATTTCTCTGTAAACAAATACATAAAAAACTCTGCAATCAACTAACTTAATTATGCATAGAGAAACAGAAAGAAAATTCTTCTTTTTGCGTCTCTGCTTTTACAGGCGTTATAAACAAGTTTTCTAAATTAGATGTATATGTTGCACATTTAGAATTAGAGAGGAAAAATGACCCATTTAGGAGCTACACTTCAAAAAAAACTTACTGTGGAAGAGGAGGTTATATATGATTCATACTTACAGTCGCTTTACCACAAGAACAGTAATGAGGGTAGTAAACAGTAAGTTGTGATTCAACACAGTTGCTCCCAACCACACGACTACTTTAATTGTTTTATCCATTAATTATTTTGTTCTGGCTAACTTTAATGTCAGAGGAGAAAACACATTTGGAGGAAATCCAGCTCACTGTGCTGTGGGTACTGTCTTGGCTCCTTGTCAAATGAGAAGAACAAACATTAGCAGGTCTGATTATTAACTCAGCGTTCCAAGGTCCATCACTGCATCCCTACCATTCCTATGTTTCTGCTGCCTTCCTCCACTAAATACAAGATGCTCTTTGTTCAGAGGTGGCCTTCAGGGATCTTCAAGTAGTGGGGTAAATCCTGCAATGCTAGAAGTATTTGATGAAACTAATGTTTGTTTTATCTTTGAAAAATTAGAGCAAAATATACAAGTTGAGGATGAGATAGTTTACAGTGTCTTTAAAATATGACTTTGGACCTGTTTATTACAAATAGAGAAAATGTTGACATATTTTAATCTTTTCTCTCTCCCAGCAAGATACAAGAATAAATCCATCCCTGCCCAAGCTGGATCTTCATGTTATTCCTGTGTGGCAAAAAGGGATTACAGGCAAGGGAGTTGTTATCACAGTACTGGACGATGGCTTGGAGTGGAATCACACTGACATCTATGCCAACTATGTAAGTTTGAGGACTAGAGTGCTATGGAATAAATTAACCAGTTGTAAATCTGATGTACAGACACTCATCTGCAGCTCACTGTCTGTTCTGTAAGTCAGGTTCTAGAGTACAGGGACTGAAATATTTGTCTGAGGCATGATTTGGAACTTGATCTGTGCCACGGGAAACTGAATGTTACTTAGCAATGGTAGTGGGGTGCTTATTTTGTTGTTTTGTTTTTCCTTCAGTGAATTTAATTCCAAGGCATGTTTGTATACAGTGGTTTAATGCTGAATTATTAAAGCTCCATGAAAAAATTATGGAATTTTTAGTGGCCGTCAAGTTCTCCTCACTGGATTGCTGCCAGTGTGAGGG